TGCCCGGCTACAATGTGTCTTTCTGTGTGTCTGTGTACACATCAGTTAGGTGTCTGTGGAGGCCAGGAGAGGCATGGTTTTCCCTGGAGCTGGAGTTAGAGTTGTGAGCTCCCTGACAAGTGTGTGGGAAACTGCACTCAGCTCCTCTGCAGAGCAGGACACAGTCTTAACCCCATCCCTCCATTCCCAGTTATTCTGAATTTCCATCTCCTTAAACTCCAGCTACCACCAGGATGTTTGTTCCTTGGTATCTCTGTTTGCTCAGCCAGTTTCTCAGCTTTGAGACAGCAACCTCCAGCCCCCGCCTGCCTATCTGGAGAGGAAGGGATGAATTCTGGCAAGGGCAATGGTCTGGCAAGACTGGGTAGTGTAGTGAGATCTCCATCCGGCCTGTACCTGTTGCACTGACCATGCCCATTCGGGCATGGGGACATGTGTGGGCGTGACCTGGGGGGAACTAGGTCTGGGGTCCCAGACACAGCACTCTCTCTTGCTTCCTGGTTGGAGATAGCATTTGGAGGCACCCTTGGGATGGGAGCTTGCTGGCGTTCATGTTTCTGGTATAAGTGATTTTCCCCTGAATACATCTATCAGTGCATTTGTTTCCTCAGATCCTTATTTGTCCATGATAGGGTAGCATGAAGCTGAGGTTAGATAGGTGACCCAGAAGCTTCGAGGACCAGTGGAGACCAGCAGCAGCGTGGAACAGCCTCTGGTGTCAAGTCCAGAGGCGGGACCTGGCTGCAAGTATTTAGTTTCCTTGTTCAGAAAAGCTGGTATTAAGTGGGATGGGTGTTCTTCCAAGTGGTGTGGTAGGCATCACAGATTGGGAGAAACACCACACACACACACACACACACACACACACACACACACACCTCCCATGATGGAGAAGGAGGGAGTGGCCAGCGGTCAAAGGAAGCTCATTATTGAGTGTGATTTCCTGGTCCCTGCTTGTCTCCATACTGGCTTGGAGTCCTGTGCTAACAGTTTTGAACACACAGTGGCCCTGTGCTAACCCTTTGGCTATGTGGTTAAACACACTGTGGCCCTAAGCAGGGTGACTGCTCTGCTGTTGACATGTCTTTCTCCCCTCACTGATTGTGAGCCCAAGGGCTGAATAGCCTCCACGGTGCTCTCATCCCTGGGCGGCCACACAGTAGGTGTTCAGTGCCTTTAGTGTAGAGCCTGATGCAGCAAGTGTGCAGAGATTTTCCTCTTTGGGGGACAGCAACAGGGGGAAACCCTGCTAGGCTGTGGTGGATGTGACTGGACGCATGTCTGTGAAGTCTTCAGGTCAGTGGGAGTAAAGTGATGGATGTGAGAGTATTGGGGTGTACTGTGCCCTTACCTTCTGGGTCACTGGGGTGTGACCCTTGGCTAGAGCAGGGATCTGGTATGTCTTAAGGTTTCTATTGATGTGACAAGACCCATGGCCTTAAGCGACTTGGTGAGGAAAGGGTTAAATTCCACTTCCAGTCCACGTCATAGTCCATCATTTAGGGGCGTGAAGGCAGGACCCTGGAGGCAGGAGTTGAAGCAGAGACCATGGAGGAGTTCTGTTTATGGCTCATGCAGGGTGTCTCCTTATGGCACCCAGGACCACCAGCTCAGGGGTGACATCACAAAGTGAGCCCCCCTCACATCAATCATCAATCAAGGAAATTCGCCACTCATTCTAGTGGGCATTTTCCCACTCCAGGCTGCCTCTCTCTTCCCAATGACTCCAGCTTGTGTCAAGTTCCCACACTGGGCATCTAGTCAGCATGGCAGGTTACTCTGGTCACCGCATCTGCTGAGATTATGACAGAGAGATGCTACCTAACATGTGGCTGGCCGTGTGTGTGGTGGCCATGGTCTGAGCTCAGCATCTTGTGAAAACAAATGGGATGCAATGGTTGACTGACAGGGTTGAATCCAGCAAGTCTGAACAGTCATCCCAGCGTTACCATCAGTTGTGGGTGTTGGAGAGGAGAAGGGGCTAGGGTGCGATGTCCATAACCGCAGCAGTGGCCTGGACTATCCCTATCGTGGCACCTCCTGTGGTGAGGGGGCTTCTGGACAGGTAGCTCACACCATGTAATGCTGATCACGGAAACCTTTGTCCACAGACATGCCGTGGCTGTCAGTGTGATGAAAGGACTACCACTCCTTGCACCTGCCCTGGGAGCTGATATTTTCCTCCATGCAGAGGGAGTTGAGTTCTAGATGGGGCAAGCAATGTATTTAAGACGGGCATCTGATCTTTGGCAGACTCGGGACCCAAGGCCAGGTCTGTTTGCTCACTTCAGCTATTTCCAGCCTTAAATATATATACACACACACTACCACACACATGTCCTTATGAATGCATACTTCTTTCTGCAGTGATCACTCATTTTCCCCCATCCACCCACACACCAGTCCATCACTCACACAACCATCCACATGTCCTTCCACATATCCATCCACCTGTGCACCTGTCACCCACCTGTGCACCTGCCCATCCACCTGTGCACCTGTCCATCCACCTGTGCACCTGTCCATCCACCTGTGCACCTGTCCATCCACCTGTGCACCTTTCCATCCACCTGTGCACCTGTCCATCCACCTGTGCACCTGTCCATCCACCTGTGCACCTTTCCATCCACCTGTGCACCTTTCCATCCACCTGTGCACCTTTCCATCCACCTGTGCACCTTTCCATCCACCTGTGCACCTTTCCATCCACCTGTGCACCTGTCCATCCACCTGTGCACCTTTCCATCCACCTGTGCACCTTTCCATCCACCTGTGCACCTTTCCATCCACCTGTGCACCTGCCCATCCACCTGTGCACCTTTCCATCCACCTGTGCACCTTTCCATCCACCTGTGCACCTGTCCATCCACCTGTGCACCTGTCCATCCACCTGTGCACCTGCCCATTCACCTGTGCACCTGTCCATCCACCTGTGCACCTGTCCATCCACCTGTGCATCTGTCCATCCACCTGTGCACCTGCCCATCCACCTGTGCTCCTGCCCATCCACCTGTGCACCTGCCCATCCACCTGTGCTCCTGTCCATCCACCTGTCCATTCACCTGTTCACCTGCCCATCCACCTGTGCAATTGCCCACCCACATGTGCACCTGCCTATCCACCTGTGCACCTGCCCATCCACCTGTGCATCTGTCATGCACCTGTGAACCTACCTGTCCATCCACCCATGCACCTTTCCATCCACCTGTGCAACTGCCCACCCACATGTGACCTGCCTATCTACCTGTGCATCCACCTGCCCATTCACCTGTGCACCTGTCCATCCACCTGTGAACTTGTCCATTCATGCACCTGTTTAACCAGCGACCTTCCCATTCATCCACCTCCCCACCTATTTACCCACTCATCTACCAACTCATCCTGCATCTAACAGGCATTTTTGTCAGGGTTCCTCCCTGTGCTCCAGGACACCATTAAGTCCTGTGAATGACAAAGCCCTTATTCTTGCATGGTCTGATGGGGATGCTGCCCAAGTAAACAGGTAGTTAGAATGCAAAGTGATGAATCCTGTGCACTGAGGAAAATGCTGTGGGAGAATAGAAGATGGACCACTTGTCCTGTCCTGAACAGCAAAGCAGGGCTGGCTGGGGCATGGGATTATTGACCTATGGTGAGACCCCAAGGAAGGATTTTCTCCAAGAGAGGAGACAAACTTCAAGAGGGTCAGGGATGAGAACCCGCTGGGGTCTTTCTTTAGCTAAAACTCAGTGATAGGAACAGGCAAAGAAGCAGTTGCTTTTGTTATCACTGCTTTCCTGAGTTCTTGCTGTAGGCTTCAGTCTTCCAGGCTGTGGTGGTTTGGGCTCTTGGTTCCAACATATGTAGCGATGGCCATTTACTATGACTACAGAGTCTTGGTTTTCACCGGTCCTGGTGGTCTTCGTGGCATGGCAGGTTGTATTTCTACCAACAACCAACCTGTATACCTGATGTTGAGAATGCCTCTTCCTTTTCCCTAAGACTACATGGTGCTCAGACCCACTGTGTCTAAGTTCAGGAGGCTGCTGGTCTCTGGGCATATGGCCTGCTCTACTCCAAGGAGCTCAGAGCTGCTGTGCCTGCAGCAGGAGCTCAGAGGGAGCCCAAGGCCCATGCTCTGCATTTTCCTGACAGTCCATGGCAGATTCTCTGTATCACATTGCTCCCAAGATCAAAGGAAATGTGTACTAGCCAAACTCTAATTAACTTACGATCCCAGCCAATTTCATGGTAGCAGATCTGTTTGGATCTGGGAGTAATGGGCCATGTCATGTCTAAGAGATGGGGCAATGACTTATATTGTGTCACTCACTAGCTCCTTGTGGAAATTATTAATAAATCAGTAGTTTTATCTGTGATGATGTTATTGTCTTTATAAATATTTAATTTACCTTCAGGTGCTCACATCTTCCCTATCTTTGCCTGAAACTCAGCTGACTTGGCTCTCTGAGGCTCTGCTCAATAGATCAAGTTAACAGTGGGGATACTTCTCTCTCTCTCTCTTTCTCTCCCTGTTCTCTGTCTCTGTGTCTGTCTCTGTCTCTCTGTGGTTTCGCTCCAGGGTGGGGGTTGGGAGTCAAGCTGAGCAGACGCAGTTCTTTGGTGAGAAGGCTAAAAGGCATCCTGTTTCGGAGAAGCAGAGTGTACAGCAAGACCTGTTGTTGGTGTATGCTTTTCTCCTTCAGGTGAATGGCATCTGGGATCTCAAAGGTTTTCTGATGCTTCCTTCCACAGAGAAATATTTTTGTCCTTGCCACTGACTCCTCCTTTGAAACCCAGGCTTTGATGGCGATTGTGTGGCTGGCTGAGTGAAAAGGACTCAGGGAATCAAAAGAGAGGCTGAGTCCCAGTCAACAATTTTTCTAGAAGAGTCCAACCAAGTTCCGGCCTGGCCAAGATGCACAGCCCCCGGGGAAAACAAATAACTACTTTTTATTTCTGCTTCTCAGGGTCCAACATGAACTAATTGTTATCATTATCTTTTTATTCTTCTGTTTCAGGAAATTGCGGCTTATTTAATAACATTTGAGAAACACGAAGAATGGCTAACCACATCCCCTAAGACAAGGTAATGTCCTGGCTATCACAGTTTTCCAGCTCTGTATGGTGAGACTAGATAATTGATTTTGGGGGATTACCAGATCTGGCCACTCAGTGCAGGGAAAGGAGTTGACGGTGCCATGTTTTGCTCAATGACCGTGAAAGGGAATGCTCATTAACCGGCCCAAGACGGTGGTAGTGAATTTGATGAGGACTAGACACTGGGCACCAGCTGTCGGAACTTTTCACAGGATGGCTCTGGGCTCCGTCCTTCAGCCAGGCACACGGAAACTTGCCAGACAGGTGCAGGGCAGGGGCAGTTCATTTTGGGAAAGTGCCCACTTGCCATCAGTGGCACATACTCTTTAAAAGGGAAAACGAACTTAACTGTTGCTTGGATCTCAGTGTGTTTTATATATCAATAAAGTCCGGTTACTCTTGATTTCTGGGACAAAGAGCTCCCAAATCAGAAGCAATGGCTAAATATTATTCAGTAAATGTCCTTGAACCCACTAACTGCCACAAACACTTAACTTCTCTTGTCACCCGGGACTGGAGGAAATTGGCAAAAATATAGCCGACCCGTGGTGTCCTGCCCACCGAAGTGATGTTATTATCAATGAAGGATGGCGAGCCTGGGATTTGGGGCTGATTTTAAAGACAGCTTCTTATTTCCTGCTCAACTCTTTAAGTTCTTGTTTTTGATATGTTTCATGTGAAATCATCAGAGATCTGCGGCCATTCCCTTCCGGTTGCTGCGATGATTCTATTAGCAGGACAGGCTCAGGGGCTTATGTTAACTGGGAGTCGGCGCACAGGGTTGAGCTAAAAGGCAGAGTTCTTGGTCTGTGACACATGGATGACTACAAAAGTCTTTGGCATTATCAACTGGAACCAGGATTGGAATGAGATGGGTTCTCTGTACCGTTGGTCCTGAGCTTGACTAATCTATCCCCTCTGCGCTATGATGGAATGGGTTCTGACTTTTAGAATGTTCCTTCATGAGACAAGGTGTATTCATTCAGTGCTTGGCTGCTGTTATAAAACACCCAGCTAGGGACAATCTAAGGAAACAGGCTCATTTTAGCTCAGGGTTTGAGGATAAACAGTCATCTGGCAAGGAAGGCCCGGAGGGCGAGGCTGCTGGGCCACTGTGAGCCTTCAGAAAGCAGAGGGAGAGGGATGCTGATGTCTGCTCGCTTCTTTTTTTATGCAGTCCAGCCAACCCTCCCCCCCCCTTGGGATGGTACCACCCACAATTGGGGTGTGTTTTCACTCCTCGATTAATATAGGAACTTACTAAGAGATATAGTCAGGGATTTTCCTCTTTGGTGAGTCTAGATTCTGTTGTGTTAATAATGCTAACTCACACACTCTGAATCCAAGCAGGAGGAAAGAGTTATTAATGAGATGGAGTGAGAGTCTCCAGAACATGGTAGGGTTGCACGCTTGCATGCGCGTGCACACACACACACACACACACACACACACTCACACACACACACTGTGCCTGAAGTACTTTAGAATGTTGCAAGGCTGGGATTCCCCCTAACATTTCAGCCCAGAAATCTGGGGATTGGTTGAGAAGATGATGTAACTTCTGGTCACACTGGACTCTGACTTTCTGGAGTATGGTGGATCACGAGACTTCTTGTCGTAGGACATAGGGACACGTGAAGCAAGAGGAGGAATGGAAGACAGTTTGGGGCTTGGTTCTGTCACTCAGTAGCATTGTAACAATTGCATGAACATCCATTAAGCTCCTTAAAAAGCACCACCCCGTCCTGCCCTCCCTCCCTCCCTATCCTCCTTCCCTTTCTCAGTCACCCAAGTGTTATGCTCACAAGTGCGTGCTAGCCACCACACCCAGCCTCCCTGCTTTTTCTTCTTTCTTAGAAAGTTGATCTCCTGTCCACTCTGTCTTTTCTGGGTCACCAGGAGCATCACATGGGAAATAACTTCTATGACCCTGTCACAGACGGGTGTTCCCCAGCCGCCAAAGGCCTGATTTCCTTCAGGCTCTGGGAGTCGGAACGTCTTTACTGCAGGCAGAGGGGACACCCGGACCCTGTTGTATTCTCATACACACTCGCTCGAAAGCTTCTGGTCCCGGGAGGACAAGTTGCCCTGCTTGTTCAAGGACCTTCCTAAATTAGTTGTTGAGCTGAGTTTGGGTTCCCCTCCCCCACCATTCCCAGTATTGAAATTAATTGGTGCAGTTAACTGCTGAGTTCCCACAAGCCAGTCTCCTGATAGTAAGGAATTAATGGCACCGATACTCCCCTGAATGGGAAGGCAATGCGAGTTCTGTTTGCAGCTACTGTTAATTTCATTTTAGAAAATTAATAAGAATGAATTGCACCGTTGACATTTATAGAGTTTGCTAATAAAATGATACATTGTTTGTGTGGAAGAATCCTTATTAAATTAATTGTTGTAATCAGTCCACATATAGATGTTGGTATAGGAATTGCAGAGAGGCCCACTGCTGCCTCTGAGGCTTGCTGGGGGCCTTAGGGATAAATACTGCCCTTGCTCATCCTAATTATAGAGAAGGCCCTGGATGTCCCTTATACCTGTTCATAATGAGGTATTTTTCAAAGATGCTCCCAGGACTGGGGGCCCTTGGGCTGGCAGTGCAGCCGTCACACGGCTGAATGGGGAATGATCAAATAGCCTGTATTGTGTTCTAAGCAGGAGAGATCTCAAGCCTGAAAACTCACCCTCGGGGACATCTTTATTTGGCACTTGCTCCGTGCTCAGCAGGATCATAATGTCATTTGGAGACTGCAGGGACTCCAGCCTCCCCACCCTGCCCTGTGGATTTACGATCCTGGAATAGAGTCCTCCCTCTGTCGAGAATGTTATCCTCGCTCCCCCTTCAGGCCTTGGTTTGGGTGTTGCCTTTCTCTGGGAGGTCTTTTTCCAAATACCAGCCACACCCATCGGGACAGAGCCCACTGCCTCTCCCTTGTGCTGTTTCCCAGAGCACCGTGTGGCCTTCCAGTTTCTCTGCGTCGTTTGGTTATTTCTTATCAGGCCCCACCCATGTGCTAATGGGGATTTTCAGCTGGGTTTGTTCTCGGGTCACCCAAAGGCCTGGAACGTTCCCTCCGTGTACACTGGTAAGGTGAGCAGCAGTGGTAAAAAGCAAGCATCCTGGGACTTCTCCGTGCTGTTCCTTCTTGCACACCCAGCGTCAGGATTGGCCAGTACACTGGCACTGCCTGCTAGCACTTGCTATGGGCCAGCCGCCCTGTGCTACAATTTCTACCGTGGGGGCTGGAGAGAGGGCTTAGAGGTTAAGAGCACTTTCTGTTCTTCCAGAGGATGCAAGTTTGGTTCCCAGCACCCAGTGGGGGACTCACAACCACCTGTAACTAAAGCTCCAGAGGATCTGACACACTCTTACACACACACACACACACACACACAATCTTAAAATCTACACAACAACTCTGCCAGACAGGGAAGGGCCGCAAGGCCACAGGACTCATGGAGCTTAACAGCATTAGAACTTTTCATCTTCTCTAGACATAGCCCATGGTGACAAGGAGTAAGAACACAGTCATTCTACTGTCCTTCAGCAGCAGCCAGGAGACAGAAGCACCAGTCAGGACCTCCCGCTGGGGGCTGGAGTGGCTTGCCTCTGCTTCTCAGCATTCTTGGGCTGGATTCTCCCTTCCCTACTCTGAGGCACAGGCAATTCAGGACCAGCATCGTGGAAATAGGCCCTGCACAGCATAGGGCGCGGGGAAACCCAACTGAGTAGAGCATGATTTAGAAATGATGGCTTCTTCACCATTCCCTGGGAAGCATACCACCTTCCCTGTGAGCCCGGGTGGGTGAGAGCCTTCCCCCAGGAATCCTGTTTTTGCCCGTGAGGAGGGAGCTGAAAAATCCTATTAGCTATATAATTAATTAATTGGATTGGTATACATAGTGCCTTCACACCGACACAGAGGGGTCTGGTAATAGAATTTTCCAGTAATGATCACTGAATGCTTTTGGTCAGTAAGCAATAAAACTCCGTGTAGGAGGAGGGAGGGCAGGGAGAGGAAACTGGCAGCAAGAGGTGGGGGACCTGGGGATCCTTTCATCCTTCCAGGTTTCCCTGAGCCCAGTCCTGTTCTTCCATGCCCCTACCGATCGGTGGATACTTTGCCAAGGACGAGCTTCCTCCTCTGCCGATCACTGACATAGGCGCTCTCTCCAGGGTCCCCTGGATGCCATATTGTTATCTCGCCTGTCCTCTGCTTCTTTCCTGGAGTCATACCCTGGTTTGCCTCATCTGATGTCCGTGGTTTTCCCAAGAGCCACTCCATTTTCAAAGACAGCTAAGGGTGGCTCTCCTCTGTTTCCCTGACTCTGATTGCTCACTCACTGGGCCTGCGTTGTGAACTAATCATTCCCCACTGTAGGCTCAGAGTCATCGCTCTTGCGGTGTGCGGGGCATTGAGATCTCTCCAGCATGTTCCTGCTCGGGGCTGTACGCCTTTGCCATCAACTTTCCTATCGCGAGCCTTGTCTAGCATCGGATTCTACTTGAGAGCCTTGGAGACTTCCCAGGAGACAAGGTCCATATTCACCAGGGTTGTTTCCCTGCCTCAACCCCTGAATGCCTACATCCAAGCTCCCACTGTGGTTAGAAGAGGCTGCAATGTCCCCCAACATCCTTGCCCCCTTCTTTGCCTTTACTGTGCCATTGGCATCACATTCTTTTCCCACATCCAAGCTTGGTTGTCTTTCGTCGGACGCCTCTGGTCCTGGCAACTTCCTCAAGCTCTCCTTCTTGCTAGATTCCTAGGGCTCACTTTCCTTATGTCAGTGGGTCAACAGTCTGTCTGTCCAGAGTTGTAAGTCTGCCTTCCAGAGGGAAGTCGCATTTCCAGGGACAAGGCTGGGCTGCCTTGTCAGTTTCCTAACAACTTGGTGCTGAGGCGATGCCATTTTGACAGGAGGGAGTGCATGTGCATGGATGTCACAGATCAGAGGTGTTTCTTGGAGGAAGATGCCTGGCAGTCAGGG